TCCGCTCCGCTTCTGAAGCCAGCCTCCGCCAGCTCCCAAATGCTTGGGTCACACACATGCCCCGGCGACATCCCCATGGAAAGCCAGCTAGCCCATTCACACACCCATTCACACACACACACCAGCTGCACCCCGACACAGACACACCTTCACTCCATAAGCCATTCACACATGCCAGGGCTTCCATCCACCGACATCCATCAAACTTCCGTCAGTTGGTTTCAGGAGGCTAAGGTCCCCCAGCTTCATCAGCCAAGCTCCTCTGGCCTCCGTCTTGTGGCCTCAACCAGCTTCCGCAGGGAGATTCCACCAGCTTCTGTCTGCCAACGTCCACCAACTTCCCCCGGGTCCATCACCAACAGCCAGCTTCAAGCCATGTATTTCCGCCAGCCTCCGGGTGAGGGCATTAGGAGTGTGAAAAGACCATTTCCCAACGGTTTAGGTATCTGGCTGCCGAGCCAGAGGTAGGAATTCAATCTCCCACGGTGCCTCCTACAAGTACAGCCAGCCTGTGTGGCCTTGGGTAAGCTGCAGAGCACCGGGATGCTCCCAGAAGGGAAGGGAAGAGAAAACCATTTCTCTACCTGGGAAACCCTGAAAAAAGAGGTCACCATGAGTTAGAATTGGCTTGATGGCACATAATTATTATTGCCACAGCTATGATATAATGTTTTTATACTAATCTTTGCCTCCCAAAACCCTGTTACTCTTTTCTGCCTTTACTCATATATATGTGTCTATTTAGATATACAGTATGTGTCTATTTGTCCTTTTTATTTCTGTATTTGTTTTCCAAAGTAAAATGATACTTCCTGTATTGCTGTAAAGGGGTTAACTGCATCTTAGGTTCTTCTACAAATATTAAGTATGAATAATTTTAATTAAGTCCTTTGTATTAGTAGCGTAAATCCTTACGGAATGAAGCAAGCCACTTCGAAATGGCTTTTCTTATCATATTATTTGATTGCTTTTGTTAAGACTTTTCAGTTAAACAATGAAATTATATCAAGTGCTTGCAATTAGTTGATTAAACACTGCAACCCCTCAATTAAATTGCCTTTGTGAAGCTCCTGGAGGTGGAGACAAAGATAAGAGGACAATTTAAAAAAAAATCTGCATCAGAGTTTACAGCTGGCTGGTTAGGTTTGTAAGTCAGACGTTACCACAAGTTTAAAACATTAGTTCTATATAGCAGGGCTAGGAAGCCTCTCAGCCTGAGGCCATGTGCAGCTCTTGGAGTAATCCAAAAGTCCTCTGGTACATGATTAATTCAGACCACTGTGGTTTTTGAGCAGTACACTTGACAAGAAAAATAAGGAAGGCCAAGGGAGAAACAGGTGTCCCATAATAGCATTTGTCGTGCACATCACTGACACATTTTCCATCCACCCATAGATTGTTCTAGGCGCTCAGAGGCAGCCACTGCCCTTAAGCAGCAGATTTTGCAGTACCCGTGTATTTTTGCCATCTCTCCATGGCATGGATCCACATGAATTTTAATGTACGCTCATCTCCAAATCATTGTTCATCTCCATTTCCTTGGTTGTGGCACTGGCGTGAGAAGTTGTACTGGAAGCTTCTTTGAAGTGGCATATTTTCTCCTCACTTGTACTCTGCAAGGAGCTGTCCATGGAGTGCTCATAATGTTGATGATGAAGATGAGGCTTGCCAGGTCTCAGAGAATGAGCTGCTGTGCCAGGAAATGGCTGGGCTCCCCTGACTCTCCAGGCCAGGAAAACCAAAGTGAGGAGCGGTGGTGGAAGGGAAGGAGCGAGTCTCGTTTGTTGTTACGAGGTGGCCATAGTGTTTCGGTGCCCAACTCCAACCCTTTCCGAATGGCACCAGGGCTCACTGGCTTCCTGTGTCTGTCCAACAAGACACATAGTATACTTGCTTAGGAGCTCAGACAAGGAACCCACAATGCCTAGCTCATTCCCATATATATGCATGGAGAAATATTATGCTACCAATTACT